GTAACAATCGAATGTAAGATAATCCTAAAAGTGCACGAGATATTAACGTAACAATCGAATGTAAGATAATCATAAAAGTGCGCGAGATATTAACGTAACAGTCGAATGTAAGATAATCCTAAAAGTGCGCGAGATATTAACGTAACAATCGAATGTAAGATGGTCTTAAAAGTGTGCGAGATATTAACGTAACAATCGAATGTAAGATAATCCTAAAAGTGTGCGAGATATTAACGTAACAAACGAATGTAAGATAATCCAAAGGTACACGAGACGTTAATGTAACAATCGAATGCAAGATAATTCTAAAAGTGCGCGAGATATCAATGTAATAATCGAATGTAAGATAATCCTAAAAGTGCGCGAAAAACCAACGTAACAGTGGAACGCGAGAGAATTTTATCGCTTTATTCTATTACATATTTGAAGTTGAAAAAAAGAACTTGCAATTGTTTCGTATCAACATTGCCTTAATCCATTTTATGATAAAAAAAAAAGGCGAAGAAAGAGCGTTTCTATCTCTCCCAAATTCTCTTAAGACGTCAAAATAACTTTTCGCTACATATTCCCTTCTGAAAGCCAGCAGTGTTTGCCCGGTGGCGATCCCAGAAACCTTTGCGCAAACACGAGGCTCCCATTATTGGCAACGCATCATCATCATTACCGCTTCTCTTCTTTATGTCAAAGAAGGACTAAATAGTTCTAAACATCATTCATTATTCATATAAAAAAAGGAATGTTTGCCATTCACATCATTTTATAATTCTTGACTTAATTCCTGTTTTCTTAAAACAAGTCTACGTGACAGCGTTTTTCACGATCACCCATTTTGGTTTGCATCAGTGGTTGGGTGTTAGAGAAGCAACAAGCGCGTTTACAACCATCCTAAGTGTGACCGACTGCGTGCATAACTGACTGCATGTAGAATAAAAACGAGTATAAAATGATAAGCGAAAAATTATTACATAAGCTATCAATGATGAGGATGACTTTATTTAAACTCGGACGAAAATGAGGCTTGTTAGGCCTCTAGCATTAGAGATGCTAATATACCGAGGCAAAATATATGAATATAAATTACAGAGTTTAAAAATAAGATAAGCCTAAATATAAATGATGATATAAAATTACAAATTACTTAGATATCTTATCTCATTCCTAAAAGGGCCAAATTCGGCCATTAATCTTAGCTTATCAGGTAATGCTGATAATAAACTTATTACAAAGGAAGAACTGATCAGCGTCACTAGTATATCACGTGGTGCAATGAGAACTGTCATGGCGGCTGCAGTTGAGGGATTGTCTTACTCTGTATCGTGCTTGGCATGCACTCATTTCCTTTTTGTATCTTACTCCGCAATTTGATCTTATTTTCGAGGGCAAAGGCGAGAGATACGGGCACTGTATTTCAGTCAAATATGCTTTCATACGTGTGATATTTACCTCAAGAAAACTTGTGACTAAATGACGTCAATCAATCCTCGACGTCAAATCAGTTCAGCTACCCTAATCAGCAACTTCGAAGAAACACACGCTGGACTTGAATGAACGGAGAATATCTAAGGTTATGACGTAGAAGTGATATGTTTTGTGGCCATGGGGAAGCTGCCAAAGACACTGCAATTTCTTGAACTTCATACGCTCTTTCCACGTGAAAGACTGATCGTAAACATGAATAATAAATTCTAAGAACTAATTGTAATTCAAATGAGTTTTCCGACGACCGACCGAAAAGGATCGAATTGCTCGTTGGTCACTGAATGTTATTCAATTACATAACGAAATGGGAAGGTCAGCTGATAGCTGATTTTAAACTGGATGAATAGCTGTAGAGAAGTGCAAATATTTGTGTAATTGTAGAAATACCTTTTCAAACTCAGATGGGAACGAATCCTTAAAAATGCATATGAAAAAATAAATGAAAATTCCTCAGAAGGCATTATTCGAGGAACTGAATTGCCCGGTTTCCTACAGGAAACAACCAAACAAACAAACCACTTTTTTAACTATTTGCATTATTGAAGGGGAACTTGTTGTTATAGATGTGTTTGGCCGCCATATTTACAATGTTATAAGTGAAATATGAATTGTTTGTCACATGCTTTTAAGTCACCTACGATTTTGCTGAGGTCGCCAAATTTCGCCAGCCTGCTATTTTGCTCGTTTTCGACAGGCGAAGAGGTCAAGTGATTAGTCATGTGATATAAGGGTTAGCTACTATTGGCTCGTTTAGCTAACCTATTATGGACGAATTTTCTCTCAGTAGAGTTGATGTTGTACTCTTTAATTGACTATATTTCTGCAGGGGGGTGGGGTAGGGAATAAGGCAATAATTTATGTACAGTAGGAGAGGAAATGCAGCGGGAACCTTTAAACAGACTACAAACTTAAGATCATCTCATTGGTCGATGTGTATTTGGATTTTGGAATTTTTTTTTTTTGTCCCTATCTAATTGCATTTTTAATCAATCAGTGCCCTACAGAACATGGAATTGGATCATTGAACAGACCTTGTACACACAGGGCTGTCCAATGACCTATAAAACATTTAGTTTTTTTTTTTTTCAGATCTAGAAACAAGAACATTTTGACTGCGAGATAGTACTAGGAGATGACATTCTTTATTTCCAAGGCTCAATATAAAATTGTAACATACCTTGAACGGATCTTCCTCACGACTTCGAAAACATATCGAGCAGGCTGAAGAGAACTTAAGAATAATTGAGGCTTCAAGAACGGCCAGTACCGCCCTCGTGCACGGTCAGTAAGAAGTCAATAATAATAATGATAATAATAATAATAATAATAATAATAATAA